TTTTTAACCCAGACCCCACAGGTTGGTCTGCCTACCATGGTTACAACTCTTCCACCAACACGTCCAATGATACAAATCATCGTCCTCGAAGATCGTATCTGCACTAGAAAAATCTGTAGCGGCCAGATTAGCGTCGACGGTGCCCCCAAGTGCATCCATAGTTCACTTGGGCCAAAGACCTCCGCAAGCGCAACCGGTTCAGGACAAATTCACCACTCGAAGAACCCCCTCCCCCTCGGCAATCCAACCAGTTTCACACTAAGTATGTCATCCCTGGCACGCTGAATAAATACATCGAAGAATTCCTACTTGTGGTCCGCGTATGCGGCGAGCAGCGGGTTCGGGTGTTTGGTCAGATGGCGTGCTCGACGGCAATATCCATTAAATGGCCCATGTCATGCACCGGCCAGTTAGAATCAGTAGAATCAGAACGCGAAGAAGAGGCCGTATCGACCGATTTCGACCGGAAGCCAGGTTCAGCACATCTGCCAGGGAAGAGGGAGGACAGGGTAGAAGAGTACCCAGCGGTGGAGATACCACTGGGAATGTATGGCACGTGCATCGAATCCTTAGACCGTGAGTTAGAATCCATGATAGATTCTTGGCTTTTGATGTTGGGGCCATCCATTATGGCGATGATCAATGTTTTTATGGCATTCACAGGAGGGCATTGGTCGTCGTCAACACCCATGTAGACTCTCCAAAAAAGGTGGCGTTGGGGAGGGTGGGCAAACCTCGAATTCGGGAATTAAAGAGAGTTAATGGGGATCATCATGGAAACGATGAGGGAAACCATGGGGATCCGATGTCAAGATTATCTCGGTCGAATCAGCGAACAGGATGTAGGTTAAGATGTTGGGGTCGACCCCGTGCGCTCGGCATGAGCTTCGTGATTTGAGCGTTTCACTGTGAAGAGTGGAGTACCAATCGATTTCGATTGGCTCTGTCTTCACTGAAGTCATCAAGGTCCGAGACAATGGGACGCGGGGCAAATCCCGGGGAACGTGTTGATTGTCCAACATGGATTCGCAGATATGGTACGAACCTTGTGGATATTTGGCATTGAGTCCACCTTCCCTGAAGTTGGTGGCCTCGATAATCTGTGAAAGCTGGATTCTCCTATCTGGGTGCCGATGGGGGTTCACCTTATCAGTGGAAGGGGGCGATTGACCAGATACATTATTACATCGCCCTGGCTCGATGGACACCTCTATGACTAGGAGTAAGTGTGGAACTCATGGAACTCTCATTAAGCTGTATCATTGAAAATGGTGTTTTGCAGGATCATTTCGATCCCAACTGTTGACGCAATTTTGTGGAGGCAAACATAACTACAAGTCTAAGCGCTCGCTGCGACCGGCGTAGAAGTAACCTCGGCGTTCACAGGAGGTGGAGTAGCCGTGGCATCAACCTGGAGCGCAGGCTTCTCAAAACTCTTCATGGGGTAGTATCCCCAGCGTTCGAACATGACCCGGTCCTCATCCCAGCCATTGCAGTCGGTAGTGAGCATCTTCTCACCAGTGAAGACAGCGTTGGCGCCGGCTTGGAAACAGGCAATCTGCTGCTCTTCCGAGAGCGCGATACGACCGGCAGCCAAGCGGACGATGGTACTGGGCATGACAATACGGGCAGTGGCGACGGTGCGCAGCAGGCGGTCGAAGGGGATCATCTTGCGGTCGCCCAGCGGAGTTCCGGGGATGGGAACGAGAGCATTGACGGGGAAGGACTCGGGGTGGGCGGGCAGGCTGGAAACGGTGTGCAGGAGACCAATGCGGTCGGCGTCAGTCTCACCCAGCCCGAGGATGCCGCCAGAGCAGACGTTGATGCCGGCATCGCGCACGTGCGAGAGCGTCTTGAGGCGCTCATCGTAGGAGCGAGTGGTGATGATGGTGGGGTAGAATTCACGCGAGGTATCAAGGTTGTGGTTGTATGCGGTCAGGCCGGCCTCCTTCAGCTCCTTGGCCTGTTGTTCGTCGATCATGCCTAGGGTCACACAGACCTCCATATTCATCTCGCGGATTCCGGTGATCATCTGCTTTACGTTCTTGAGACTGGTCTTGCGGCCCCGCATGTCGCGCCAAGCGGCGCCCATGCAGAACCGAGTGCTGCCATTGGCCTTGGCATTGCGAGCCTTGGCGAGGACCTCGTCGACGGGGCTCATTTTAGTGGCCTTCAGACCTGTATCGTGTTTAGATGATTGGGCGCAGTACGAGCAATCTTCGCTGCATCCGCCGGTCTTGATATTCATGAGGGTGCACATCTGGATAGCTGCGGGGTCATGAAAGCGACGGTGGACAGAGGCCTAGAGGGTCAATTTAGCCGAAGGTCGACATTGGGCCTTTTTGCTTAGTTTCACTCACTGCCGCATATGTGAGTTGGCTCAATGGCGTTTCGTAGATCTGCTTGACCTCATCTCGGGTCCAGTTGGTCCGGGGAGCGGTAGCGCCCGTGGCATCGGTTAGGGTGAGGGGGATGCTGGACAATGAAGCAGTACTGGGTGAGCCCTGGACAGTGCCGTAGCACCGTACTAACGTTCGAGACAAGGAGCGAACGGGGAGCGACATGATGATGGGGTGAGGAGAGAAGGTAGAGGAGAGGGTATAGCAGGATGACTCGAGAGAGGGGTAGAGGTCCCCCGTGATTCACCGGGACAATCGTGTGGAGAAGAAATGCAGTCAGCTTATTGGAGTAGGAGGTTGCAGGGGAAGTTCAATTGATAATTGGCTTCTTCGGAGAGGGGACCTGGTTGAAAACTCCGTTGAGTCCCAACATGTGAATTTGCCGATTGGAATCGACTCGACTCTCATTTGTCCTCCCCCGCCTTTGCTAAATTCCACCTTTTTCAGGTTAAAGCACATCTAAGCACAGACTAGCTGAAATTAAAACGACATCAACCAGATAAGACGTGCAATTGTCTTCCAATCCAAGATTTACACAACCCAAGTCATGGCCCAAGCAAAAAGAGACGTCGAAAGGAACCCCCCCCCCCGTGTGAAAAACACTCCTATCAATGGCCACCGAATGCATAATTTAAAACTTGGAGCGGACTTTTTGAACCCGTTTTCACATTTCCTGCGGTCGCAAAGTTGAGTGGGATCAAATTGAGCAATACTGATCCCATCTTGGAGGACGACAAGATGATGGGGATGTATCCCTCACGAGGCCCGGTTTGAACCAACATGCAGTTACGAATTTCTGTTGGGGGGATATTTTTTGGGATCGGGCAGAGGGGAATCAATCATGTCTGCTTGGTTGATTTGATTCTCTGATTTAGTCGCAAAATGAAGCAAACGATAGTTAGTTACGTTACATCAACAGGCTGCCTGGGTTGTCAGGCATGAAAATCTGAGCTTGTTGCCAATGACAAGGCCACTCCTTTCGAAGACAGAAACGAGAAGCAAGCGGAAGCGATAGAACAGAATGAGGCCAAGGCAGTCTAGAAGATATGAGCTCTGCTTACCAGCTAGTCTAGCTCTACACGACGTGAGAAACCATCACAGGCTTTTCAATCTTGCAAGTGTTGCTATGCATTCACCCCCACTTGACAGTCACACGATGTGGTGAAAGATAGGTACAAGAAACAAGGGAATGCTGAAGATTCGTGATGGATACAGGAAATAGAGAGCAAAGACAGGCTATAAAGTTGAAGGAATCTACGACTACTTCTCTAGAGAAATTACCTAAGAAGACAACCTATAACTAACCAACTAACTAGGTCGCATACTTGATAGGGTAGGAGTTACTTCTCCCCCCCCCCCCCGTACCATCAACCCAGATACCTATGTAGAGACCTATTGTCGACCTAAGAAACAGTCCCCTTAGGCTATAATTCAGAGACCATGGTTTTGGATGTGGCCTAGTGGAAAAATGGCTAATTTTTTTCCCACGCCCGTAGCACAAGGCTGTCTACAAAGTGGCCGCTTCAAAGATCCTAAGACTAAGTCCTAAGAGGCGCTGTTCGACACAACTCAACCAACTATGATAGCGTTTATGTTAATTAAATGGCACTCAGTACACGAGTTTAAGAAGTTTTACATATACATCACTGAGGTTGCTTCGTAGGGTGGGGTTGTGTTTGTATAGTAGTTCGGCCCAGATGACAAATGGTCTCACTGTGTGCGTGCATATTTAAACAGATCATCTTTTTAGTGAGCTTTCCTTTCACCCAATTCTTAGAGTCCGTGAAACTGTGAAATCGCTGTCAAACAGAAGTCCTGCTCCTTGGAGTTACTGGCGAGATGGGCGCTTCCATAATAGATCGGTCTTTGGGAGTCTGGCACCTTTGTGAGTTACAATAACCTTCTACAAGTTCCTACGACTGATGGTCTTTCTTTTCCTTTCATAGGATATTGAAATCCTAGTGCGGCCAGCGTCTGTGAATAAACCATCGGTCCAAAAGATTCAAGAGCAAGACATCAAGATCTGGTGCATAGATCTCAACGAATCGAGCGATCTCATATTTGCGTTCTCTAGTATTGATGTTCTTATCAACGCCACTGGCCCCCAGGACGTAATTTAGCAAAATAAGCTACTTCAAGCTCCAAAGTTGGCCGGTATCAAGCGAATAGTTCCATGCGCTTTCATTCCGGTCGCACCCCCACACGGCGCTATGTTGCTTCGTGACGAGGTAGGCACAGTGGAAACTTATGAGTGCGACATGAGTTCAACTGATCAAGCAAACAGAAAAAAGAACTTTACAGCGATATCAGATTCCTTGGTGTTCCTTATACTATTACAAACGTCGGTGATTGGTCTCGAATTTCCGTTCCTGTCGTCCCATCCGGCAGAGTGGATTATACATCGGTGTTCCTAAACGATCCTATCCATGGTGATGGCATAGCCCCCAATCTTCTAACCGACCTAGGTGATATCGGCCGATTTGTCGCGCATATAATATGCGAAGGTCGAACTCTGAACATCTATGTCTACACATTTGGGGATGTTTTGAACGAGAGCGAAATTTATCAAAATGCCGAAGAACTCTCTGGAGAGAAACCCGAAGCGACTCCGGTATGCTGACTCCCTCTAAACATGTAATTCTTGGCTAAGGAAGTTTTGTAAACTGGACGCTCAGATGTCAACCGAACAGATCGAAGATGGCGTTGCACAAGCTAAAGCTGCCTTCTCTCAGGATCCTTAGGATCCAGTGAAGCGTATTTCCCTTTATTACGCCTAATCTTAGCATGGTAAATATGTACACGCGGATGTCCGAGCCAGCTTATGCTAACCGATTTGAGTTATCTCAATGCCAGAAGCCTCTATCCAGAGTAGACACCTACTTCCGGTCGAGAAGTCTTTGCAGAGGCACTCGCGGGGAAGGTGAACAAGGTGTACGCTAGTTCAGAGGTCTACCTTGGTCCATTGGCCTCTCGGTTTACTGTCACATTCACAGAAAGAACAACTGAGATTGAATCCTAAATGGATTTTATTTCCTAAATCGGGCTGTGTGCCTAAATTTCGAAAAGTTGCAACCTGGTCCACAAAACTAAATTGCCAAGCATGCTTTGGCCATCGTGATGCTGGGTAGGTGCTCGAGCTATGATCGTTCTCGGTGTGTGAAAAGAATTCCTCGGCAGGACAACTCCTATACTGTTAGCTGATTGCCTATCTCCTCCGTATAGAATTCCCGGAAGGCGGAAGTCTCTCAGACAGCGGGAGAGCGGAAATTAGAATGCTTTGCCCAAGGTTGGGAACCTTGGAACTGCCAAGATTGAAGTCTCCTTACTCTTCGCGAGTAATGAAACTCTTTCTTCCTGTGCATGCCCTAAGAAAAGTTCATGTTTGGCCTGGTCGGCCGTCGGAGCCGATACCCGCATTCTTCACCGCGAAGAAAGCACACGACATTTCGTCAGATACATCCCGAAGATCCCCCATTTGGGATAGTGTTCACGCCCCGTCGAACTCTCCCCGAAACCCTCAATGGCGGTGACGTTATGCTATGAGCTGATGTGGGAGAGCAGTGGAGTAGGGGAGTGAATATAAATATTCGATTCCCTGGTCACAACCCTACATGATTAGGCAAGTCCGTTGCAAATCCAAGATTTGAATTTTAAAAAAAAACGTGGCCTATACTGCAACATGGGTTTCGCTGGCATTTGCCTTGCTGTCGTGACAGCAGTATCCGCTGTACATGCGAGACATGTTCCGCAACAATCATCTGCCTGTAATGGTCTCCTCGGCACGGATCTTAGCCCGGGTCATACCGTGTCTGATGCAGCAGTCTTTCCATCTGGCAGCTTGAACTCTTCGGGTATCATCAACGCATTCACCCTCTGCCGAGTTCGAGGAACCGTCAGTTATGATACAGACGATACACCCATCCTCAACGGCCCGAACACTCTCACCTGGGAGTTATATCTGCCAGTAGCCTCTGACTATAATCACCGATTTATCGTCGTCGGTAAGAATTTCCTGACACCCGAAGCAAAGATTGCTAGACTAATATCATGGACTGACAGGAAACGGTGGATATGCCGGTAACATCGATGAGGCGTCGATGATGACCCAACTCAATCATGGATACGCAGTTGCCGCGGGTGACAGTGGTCATTCCCTCGCTGCCAGCGGAAACGGTACATACGCCTCGTTCTTAGCCAACAAGGGAGAAGTGAACGCCTGGATCCACAACTCCATTGCAATGGTTACCAAGGTCACTCGAGCCTTGGCCACTGAATACTACACCAAGTGCCCTGAATTCAGCTACTACCACGGATGTTCAACCGGGGGTGCACAGGGGTATTCACTCGCCCAGTTTCACCCAGAACTGTTTGATGGGATCTACGCCGGAAGCCCGGGAAATTGGTACAGCCATCTAATTCTCAGTTTCCTTTGGGCCGGACAGAAAACACAAGGAAGCGGATTCATGAATCAGGACGTCTTGAACTTTGTCACCGATCGCGTTCTTTCTGCATGCGATTCTCTCGATGGGGTCGTCGACGGACTGATTGAGAATCCACTGGTCTGTGATTTCAAGATCACTCAACTTGAATGTCCTTCCGATCGTAGTCCAACAACTGCCAGCGGGGAAGTGGTGTGTCTCACTTCGGACCAAGTTGCAGCAGCCCAAGCGATGTACGCCGGACCTAAGAACACTGTCACTGGTGAAGAGGTCTACCCGGGAATGGACTTGGGCTCAGAAAACGGTTGGCTGAGTCTGGAGACGACTTTGTATAAGAGCTATTCCGAGCTCATCCTGAAGGAGCTCGTCTTTGGGGATCTGACCTATAACATCTCCAACTTCAACTGGGGCTCTGATGTTTCCAGAGTCGACCAGACCGCATCACCTGTGATCACTGCAACCTCCCCAGACCTTTCCAACTTCCGGAACCGAGGAGGCAAGTTGATTACCACGCAGGGCTGGGCAGATCAGTACAACGCAGGTCTTTGGCCCATCCAACACCTTCATCAGATTGAAGCCGCTATGGGTAGGGCTAATGTTGCCGATTTCATGGAGGTTTTCATGGTCCCCGGAGGTGGACATTGCGGGGCGAACCCTGCATATTCCCACGTGCCAGGGAAATACCAGGTTCTGGATGTCCTGGTGCCGTGGGTAGAGCAAGGCATCCGTCCGACTGAGATGTTGAGCACAACTCCCCCTGACGGAACCAATACTACCCGCAAACTTTGCCCATGGCCGGAAAATGCGCGATACACGCAGGGTGACATCGATGATTGGACGTCTTACATTTGCGTCTAGCTGCACAGCCTTTTTTTTTCTAAAAAAAAATTGTTTAATAACCTGGAACAAGGATAGTCGGCCGCTGAAGTGCCCTGGCAAGGTCTTTTCTGGTAGTCGTATTCAACACATTTTCCATGTCTTTCATAAATCGTTCTCCTTGTGTCCGCATTGTAGATAAAACATAGGTGAAAATGGCTTTTGAACGTACAAGTTGGCGTTTCTAGGCGCAACCAGTGATTCTCAATAATCGTAGCCATTGTAAAATTCTCCTTTCACCACTGACCATGCCAAGCGCCCAAGACACACACCGCTGTGTATATTAAGCGCTTGGCACGGTTACTGGGTGGATTCGGACGAAGTCGTACGTTATGGGTCTCATCTCCGTGTCGGGCCAAGACATCCGACACATCGGACTGGGGCCCCGAAGAGCAGTCAGCGCCAACCCGAGGAGCTTGTACCCTGTCGCTTGAGCCGACAAAGTCCGATCATGTTCAATGATGTTTAAAGAAAGGGAAATGCCTTGAGGTCTTTAGCTTGTTTGGATTTTTTCCTGTCTTCACCTTCCACAAAGTCAATCAGGGACATGATGCTTTCCAAACGCGATATCCGCATCGGAAATGTTTCAGGTGCAACGGGTGACAGTCCGCACGCCATGCTGCGGATGGCACAAGATGGCAACGTCGATGTAATCGTTGGCGATTGGCTTTCAGAAATGAACATTGCATGGAATGCCATTACCAAAGACCAAGATCCATCGTTGGGCTACGAACCGGGCTTTTTGACGCAATTAACTGAGTCCATCGACACGATCGCGAAGAAAGGTATCAAGGTCATCACCAATGCGGGTGCTTTAAATACACAAGCACTAGCTGCTCAGGTACAGGAGATGTGTCGTGCGCGGGGCCACAAGGACTTGGTGATTGCCATGGTGCTGGGAGACGATATCTCTCAAGCCGTAACCGATCCCGCCAAATGTGAGAATCTCCTGCATCTCGACCATCCAGAGTGGGCACTCAGGGACTGGCTGTTGGAGCCGTATTGCGGGGTGGCGTATATTGGAGCTTGGGGGATCGTCGAAGGAATGAAAGCAGGAGCGGATATCATTATTTGTGGACGAGTCACGGATGCATCTCCAGTAATCGGAGCTGCCGCATGGTGGCATGATTGGGCCCGAGATGATTGGGATCGACTTGCAGGTGGCTTAGTTGCAGGTCGTAAGTATTCCTTGACGATGACAGGAGAGTGATTGAATTGACTGACCTGTGTGTAGATTTGATCGAGTGCGGGCCCTATGTGACAGGAGCCAACTTCTCCGGATTTAAATCGATTCTCCCTCAGTTGGTGGATCTGGCATTCCCTATTGCAGAGATCAGCAAAGAAGGAACCTGCACCATCACAAAGCCTGAAGCCCATGCCGGAGCCGTGACAAAACACAACACAATCTCTCAATTCCTGTACGAACTTCAGGGAGAACAATATCTGAACCCGGACGTTGTTGCCAACCTCCATAATGTGTGCATTGAACAGGTCGCTCCGAATAGAGTACACGTACATGGCATCACCGGATCTCCTCCACCGGCAACGACCAAGGCAATGATTGCAGCCAAGGGCGGATACCAGGCCGAGGCTACATTCTACATCAACGGGCTCGACGTGTCAGAGAAAGTCGAGATGATGCGCAACCAGCTCTTGCACATCTTCCGCGACCACAACTTCAGCAAATTTTCAATCGAGTTGTATGGATCCGCTGCATCGAATCCTACGAGCCAGCAAGCCGGTACAGTCTTCCTGCGCGTATTCGCGCAGGCTAAAAAGAAGGAAGATATCTCTGCCGACAAGTTCAAAATTCCAATCTATGCTTTAAGAATGCAAAGTTATCCCGGATACCACATGAATCTCGACTTCCGGACAATGGACCCAAAGCCCTTCATGGAAATATTCCCAGTCGTGATCGCAATGGCCTCCCTCGACCACCAAACTCATGTTTTAGGAAGCACCATTTCAACCTCGATTTTGATTGATCCCCCTCAGATAACCTCCAAATATCCCGATCCCCGAAGGTCCTACGAGACTGCAAGTCCAGTCGATCTGGCGAGCTTCGGACCTGCCCAACTAGCTCCCTTAGGCCACATTGTCCACGCGCGGTCTGGAGACAAGGCAGACAACTCGAATATTGGCTTCTTCGTCAGAAATCACGACGAATATCCCTGGCTACAGTCATTCCTGACAGTACATCAGATAAAGAGCCTCTTTGGGGACGACTGGACAAAGGGTGAGAACCACGCCGAAAGAAGGGTGGAAAGGTGTGAGTTTCCCAAGGTTTTGGCCGTCCATTTCCGGGTACTGGACTTCTTGGATGGAGGGATTGCGAGCTCCAGCAGGATCGACGGCTTGGGCAAGGGGATTGGGGAATACTTAAGAAGTAAGGTCGTTCCTATCCCAGTACAGTTTTTAGAAAGAGGGTGTATTTAGAGCGTCCTAAGACTGGAATATGATATGGTGTGTTTTGTTATGTTCTCTATCGCCTCATACACGGTCTCGGATAGCTACACCCCGCCGATCTGGCCAAGCCAATCCTGTGATAGTTGACCAATGGGGTCTTCACCGAATGCAGACTCATGAAAATGTTGTAGATCGTCAAAACAATCCCGAAAAACGTCATCGACGGCAAGCAGAGACGATAGCATTGGATCCTGGAAAGACCATCCCCCGGATGGCAACGTATCCATTGTGTAATTTGAGGCGGCGACATTTGGAGCGACACTATTGCACAAGGCAGGAGGGAGAGGAGGAGCCGGCTGCGGCAAGCCAGCAACCCGAGGTGATGTATGATATTCGACCGCGTCCGATAATACAGCGTCACTCAGACGATCGAAAACACGGTGGCAATGACGAGCGATGTTCCCACGCTCTGACACTGCCACCAAAACACTAGAGCAAGAGCGGCAGATGTTGACTATTTCCAGAATTGACGGATCAGAGCTGAGCACCGGTGATCCCTGTCCACGACGCTGGTTTTTCTTGGTACGAAAATGCTGCCCAGCAGCATAGACAAAGGAAAGACCAGCCATGAAGACGCTATGCAATGTAATCCAAGTATAATTGATACGCTGCAATTCATGAAGCTGTGCGTAGAAGCCAATCGCCCGTTTTGCAGAATCATAGATGATTGGCACTGCCACAGTTGCTCTGGATGAGTTCAATGGTAGCGCAGGAGAGGGCCGGTACAACATGAGCATAGCATTGTGATATATCATCTCGTACCACTCGACTGTCAGAAAGCTGGAGACTTTGGCCCCGTCTGACGCACCACTTTCGAGGTTTAACGTACTTGTCTTGGCGTGCCACTCTTCCAGGTCATTTGAAAGCTGGGATTGTGCAGCCAAGGCGGAACGTTCATTGTTAGTGTATCGGCCTCGGTGCAGAGATGACATGATCCTACCACAAAGTATACGGTAGCGAATGATGTGAGCAAAGGCCGCTTGCCGGTACTGCTCGTTAGTTGGACGTATCTCATGTCCTTCTGGTGTGTTGGTAGTTTGTGTGATTTCGTAAGTGGGAAGCGCAAGGTCCACATCTTCTAGATGTATTGCGAATGGTCGACCTAGCGTAATACTGACTACACTGATCACAGAAGACAAGTTAGATTCACATCTTTGTCGAATAACCACAACAAACTCACCGGTCCATTGCTAATACACACCAAAGCCACCGCCGATGAATCGTGAAAGTGGAGGCTGGTGTGATGGGGTTTCCTCGATGATCGTAAGCTTCTTCCCGGTGGAGGCCCATTTCAAAACACATTCGTGCCGCCATCCCAACCATGTGCCATAGACTTGCAGATGTTCCTTGTGTGGAGTTTGTCAATTGATATTGACAGAGGAGTAGAATTGCCTGGAGCGCTTCGATGCCCCCCGAACCTAGTATAGCATTCAATCTGGACATAGCTTCTGCGTGGTATGTTTCCGCTTCGGGCAGTGATTGCCAATGAAGCTTTTGAACATTTGATGCGGAGATAGCCAATACCATGTAGAAGCAGAATGCCTCGTACGGTTTCTTTTCACATGTAGACGCTTCCGCATAGAATTTGCTTAAATTGTCGATTGCTGATTGCTGGCAGAGAATTGGAAAGCACAGGTGATCATGTTCGAAGTATGCGCGGTGGAGGTCACGTGCTGCACTCTCCGGCAAAGGTGGTGGTCCTTCTCTGACTGCTGGGGACACTTGGGCAGCCCTAGTGGATAGCCCAGATGCCGACGTGGGGCCTGATCCCTGCACATGCAGCTGTGTATGGGAGGATGCATCGGCTTTTATGGCAGATATAATTAAATCCGCGAAAGGAACACCGCTCGTGGACCCAAGAAACCGCCGCTCGCCCCCTGCATTGAGAGACAAAAATGAAACTTCATCGGAGACCTCGTGTCTGCTTTCTTCCGCTTGAGGGCTCTTCGTTGTAGAAGGAGTGATCTCATTGTTGGAGGAAGAATTGAAAGCAGCCAATCTCGCCGTCAATGCCCGATTTGTTGCTTCAGTCTGACGTAGTCGTCGTTCAAGCCTTTCGATCACATCTCGTCGGATTGGCTCTTTTGTTCTGTCTGTGTATACACAGGCCACACCTGCTTTGTCACATAATCCACAGGATGGCTGCACTTTGTCACATCCGGATTTTCGCCTCCGACATCGATCGCAGGCCTGCATATTTTCTAGGACTCTCTTCTGCTGGGGTAGGGTGGAAAGATAGGCATCGGAGGGCGGACGCGAGGACCCGACGGGTGTACATCCGATGTCGCAATTCTCCCCCGCACTTTGTGGGGCTCGGGACTCTGGTAGCGTCTGAGTCGCCTACAGGCGTTTAGCCATCGGAGGCGGCCTCCTACTCCGAAAGAACAATAGGGCTACGGTTGGGAATGTATATCTTGAAACTTCTTTCCCCGGATTTTGGCTACCCCAGATTCCTGCGGTCCTGAAATTACTGCCTCAAATCTCTCAACACACCGTAGCGATGCAAGAGAACCACAAGAGTCAAACGGATATGGTGGAAGATGTGGAGGTAGGGACCAGCGTATGCACCACATGCTTGCCCCTGATGGTGCCATCTAACAACTAATCGTGAGCGTAGAAGGAAAGTCCTTCCTCAGGGGAGATCGAGGTCGATGTCGAACAAGAAAAGCGCCTCATTCGCAAGCAAGATCTTCGAATTCTACCTTTATGTGCAGGGATTTATCTGCTTTGTTATCTCGACCGTTCCAACGTTGGTATGAGTTAAATCTTTTATGCTGCTTAGCTAGCACCAGGGCTAACAAGTGGATCGATACAGGAAATGCAAAGACCCTAAACTCCGGGACAGGCAATGATTTGCTTGAAGAGACGAATATGACAGAACACCAATATATGTGAGGAGATGGAAATTCTCATGTTTTGTGGTAATACTGACTAAAATTAGAATAACTTTGATGGTCTTCTTGATTGCCTACGGCCTCTTTGAGGTTCCTTCCAACTATTTTCTCAAGAAGTTGAAACCAAGTGTCAGTTACTATCTCATCCAAATGTACAAGCTGTTATGCTGATTGTAATATATAGCGCTGGATAGCTTTTCTCATGTTTTCTTGGGGTGCAATCACCATGGGCCTTGGAGGTGCCCATAACTTTGCCCAAGTCGCAGGAGTTCGTTTTCTCCTCGGGGCGATTGAAGCTGGCCTATTTCCTGGTCTAGTGTTCTATCTTACCTTCTGGTACAAAGTGTCAGAGCGGTCATTGAGAGTCGCGTTAATCTTGGCCTCTGCCACTTTGGCTGGTGCATTTGGAGGAGCCATTGCATACGGAGTCGGCCATATGAATGGTGTAAAAGGCCTTTCTGCCTGGAGGTGGCTCTTCATCATTGAAGGTGCACCGTCGTGCGCATCTGCAATTTTTGTTTGGTTCCTTCTCCCAGATTACCCGGAGACTTGCGGTTTCTTAACATCAGAGGACAAGGCACTAGCAAAGCAGCGACTCGCCGTGGAAGGAGGCCAGGGTACGGCAAAAGCAATGACCTGGAGTGACGCCAAGGCAGTGTTGACAGAATGGCGGCTTTATGCCCACTATCTGGTATGTGGAAAGTGCCTTGGGGCAAACAGCTCTATTCATGTGTTGACTGACAATGGTAGGTATATTTTTCTATCTCTGTGCCATTCTCTAGTCTGTCACTCTTCACCCCAACCATCACCGCCGGCTTGGGTTATGAAAGTCTACAGGCTCAATTAATGACGGTTCCTCCATATGCCGTTGCCTATGTGGTAACTCTTGCAGTCTCATGGTCTGCAGACTACTTCAATGCGTTTGTCTCCCCTTAGATCCTCCCTGAAGTCATGGGCAACTGGCATCGCTAATCCAAGGATACAGTCGCGGTGTGCACTCTGCTATCTTCTCGTTGATTGGTGCCATAGGCTTTTTGGCTTCCGCGGTTCTCCCTGCGGACGCATATTTGGTGAGTAGTCTTCTGGTCTACGCATAACATTGTATGCGTGAACGAATAGATACTAATGTGAGCTCCCCCCCCTAGCACCGCTACGGATGCTTAATTATAGCCACCTCTGGTGCATTCTCATGCATTCCACCACTCTTAGGCTGGCTATCTTCCAATCTCCGCTCAACCGCTGGAATTGGGTTGGCTATTGCGATGAACATTTCCTTTGGGGCGCCTGGGCAAATCGTCGGTGTCTGGATCTACAAGTCCGATCAAGCCAAGAGAGGCTTTCCAACGGGCCATTGGACTAACGCAGCGCTTCTTCTGCTTGCTTCTGTTGTATGTGTTGCTTTGAGACTATACTACGGGTGGTTGAATCGGCGATTCCCCCAACGCGAAATCAGATATGTCTACTGAGAGAAATATGAAATTCATTTTTATTTTAGGATCTTTCTATATTGTAGTTAAATGAAACGAAATGCAGGGATGCCTTGTTTTCCGAGTTGCCTCGCCCTCGAATGTCCCTACAACAGTCGGCAGTTCAACTACAATATGGAGCGATCAATTTCAGAGCGGTCGCCAATGCATGAAATTAAGGGACGATAGTGCATTTGAGAAAAAAAAAAAACATACAACTAACAACTAACAATTCCTGATCCTGTAGTATGCGCCCGCGCCCCAATCCAGAACGGCAACAGCAGAGTCATCTTGATCTCTCTCCTTGTAAATATGACCTGTTTGACCCTCACGGACAGTTAGCGGCAAAGGTCAAATGACGAGGCCAGGATTATTAGCGTCCCCCGGATTGGGTTCGTGGGGCAACCCCGCCGATTTGACCAACCAATTCGAGCTTATCACTGGCTAAACGGTCTAATAGTCCCTTTCTGGCGAATAGCCGAGAGGGCGGAGATCAATTTGTGCCGAGGTTGGCGTGCTCACCGGGACCCCCTCATTTCTATGCTAAGACTGTCATATTATTATCTTCCTGCTGCAGACCGTGAACACATATCCCAATAAAGCCGGGCTTACGAGAAACCCAAAATTCGACCAGAGATATCCAAGACCAAGCCTGCCAATATGCTCATTTCTACTTATCACAGGGCGTGAATCAAGTCAACCTAGTTGCCCTTTATCCCCAGAACAGCAACAAGTAGGATGGGTAGTTGGGCGCTTGGCACGGTTATAGTCGCGGGTCGAATCGTCGTATGTGCCATAAACTTAATTTTCAATTTCCCGATTAGGCAGAGACTCAGGGTGGGACAAGAAGCGCATCCATGGATCCTTGGATGTATGTTTGAGGAAGAACCATGGAACCCATAATCACCATCGCCAGATTTGGCCACATCTGCGACGCAGTGACGGGAACAGTGTGTTGTTTGATGAACTTTCCCATTAAAAGAGTCCACGATGGCGATGTATAACCCAGATGCACATAGTGTGCGCAGCGTGATCTCCACGCACCAGTTTGATTCTACTTTCTATTTCCCTAGTCAGCTAGGTTCTAGTGTCATGATTGAAACTGCAGACCAACTATCCCTATCTGCCAGCGGATAATGTACACTACAACATAGTAGTGAGCACTCCATGTACGTATGGCGTCCCTTCTCTCCTTTTTTTTAAAAAAAGAATTGTTCAATCCATGAATGTCGTGGAACCATGATCAAGACTCGGGTAAGCTCGACCTACAAGATCTCCATCATTCACGAGAATCTCACAGTAAACACTAGTCAGGCAGCATTAGCATCTGTCGTTTCACAGATGATGTGAATTGACGCGCAATAATTGCGGTTAGTCTAACTAGGTGGACCTAGGTTGATCTTTGTATAGTAGCAACATGGAGATTGGTTATCTTGTGGACATGGTAAGCCTTCCTGACTTGGGTGTTGCCTATACCAGTCGGCATTCTTATCTTCCTGGCACATTTTCTTGCGGGCACGTATTCTTGCGCTGCGTCTGTTTCTTGCTGGGCATGGCTATAACCGCTGCCGTCTCCTGCACATTACACTTCTTTCCGGTTCATGGGAGTGGAGATTTCCTGACAACGGTCCCTTCAGCAAAACTCCCAGGTGGATGGCAGGGAGATCATGGTACAATCCAAGTTACAGAGACTATGAATGTCTAAAAAAAATTGTCATAGAACCTGACATGGGTGACAGCGGTCTGGAAGTGTTGAAAACCTTGCAGAGGGTCGCGTAAATCGGCCGGCTCCGAATTAAAATCTGATTGATCAGACTTTCGCAAACGGAAACTTGAAAACAGTCTATGGATGCAATTCTGGCAAATCAAACGAGATAGCGAGGATATCGAAAGTCAACGCAGCTTCTTCAGGCAAAGCCGGGACAGAAATCAAAAAGCAGGAAAGCTCGCTTCACATCAGATTCATCATTTGAACCGTCAAGGCTCAAGAGGTGTGTTTTGGATCAGACAAATAAAGGGGCATCATTTCTTGAGCAGGCCTAAGAGGTTGATGCTCTTGGGGCGCTCAATAGGCATGCCAAGAACACGGTCCCAGATCAGCTGGGTCAGGGGACCAAGAGCACGGCTCACGCCGAACGCGACAGTGTAGTATAGTGGCTGTTGGAAGCCAAAGTGATGGAAAAGGACGCCGCTGGCGGCATCAACGTTGGGGTATGGGTTCTTGGTCTGGACAAAAGTTAAAAGGCCATTAGTTGAGGAAGGGCTTTGTGATGTTAGGTTGCTAGTGGACATACCTTTCCGTGCTCCATAAGAACACCAGGAGCAATCTCCGAGTTCTTCTTGACCAACTGGAAGACCGGATTGGCAAGAACATCCGGGCGGTTGGCCGCAAAGTCCATCAGAGCCTCGAAACGAGGGTCGGGTTTACGTAAAACGCCATGACCATATCCAGGAACCACACGGCCCGACTTCAGAGTATCCCAGAGATAGGTGCGAACATCTTCGTCGGTGAAGTTGGTTCCAATCTTTTCCTGCATGGCATTCACCCAGCGGAGAACCTCCTGGGCAGCCAGGCCGTGGAGTGGACCAGCCAGGCCCATGAGACCAGCGCTGTAACTCAGGAATGGATCACTCAGAGCGCTTCCAACAAGATGGGTTGCATGGGCTGACACATTGCCGCCTTCGTGATCGCCGTGCAGAGCTAGGTACAGACGGAGGAGGTCATGGAAGTCAGCATGCTCGGAGCCACCCTTGCCCAGTAGCTCTGCGAAGTTGTGTGACCAATCCTGAGTGGCGTCGAGCTTCTGGGCACCGACGTCATCAATTTCAGTAGGGCGGAATACAAGTGCCGCCACACGAGGAATCTTGGCAAGAAGGGAGATGCTGTCATCAAAGGTGGGCTCCCAGTAGTCCGCCTTATTGATGCCATTCTCGTAGGCCTTGGCGAACTTGGATTCGGTGTTGAGGGCTGCTACGGCAATTGACAACTGAGTCATAGGGTGCATTGAGGCGGGGAAAGTCTTGATTAGGTCGAGAATATAGGAGGGAAGTTCGGACTTCTCGGCTAACTCGCGCGAAAGGGTACGAACCTGCCCTGTGGAGGGCACCTGACCAGTCAGTAACAGCCAGAACATGGCCTCGGGTAGCATTTCTGTGCCAGTGATGCCTTTGGGCAGTTCCTTCTGGCAGTCTTTGATTGTCTTGCCGTGAAAGCGGATTCCCTCATCTGCGTCGAGGACGGAGCCCTCCCAGAGCATGGCCTTGAGACCACGCATACCACCAATGACACTTCCAACCTTCACATCGCTGACCACATCCTCACTCTGGGCCTTGACCTTTTTCAGGAGCTCCCGCTTAGCCGGGATAACCTCCTTCAAGGTGGTCTTTAGGTCGGGCTCGACAGTCGCATAGTGACGCGCTGAGAGAGCAGGTCGTGCTGTCTAAGAAGAGTCAGAGAAGTTATAACGCCAAAAGATTTAAGATTCAAACTCACCTGGGTAAGCTTAAAGACATGACGAGCCGATCTCCAGCTGAGAGCCATTTTGTGTTGTTGATGCTATGGAATCCGGGGTGGATTTTGCGGGGGCGGAATTAAATTGCGGGGACCAAAGAGGATGAGAAAAGATCAAGCTGAACAAACAGCAATTGAGTGAATCTTGTGGACTTTAAGACAAGAAGTATAAAAGAAGGGAAAATTAGAATCTGACAGATCGACTTCTCCGAATGCAGGTCGGTTGGACGCGGGGCACAAGGGGGGGCGGCTACCGAGGCCCGGGGCCATGCGGCCGAGATCAGCTCACTTGGATGTTCCAAGCTTGGACAGGGATGAAATAAAGAGGGGTATCATCAGTTATTTGACAGTTCACCGTAGCCTGCAGAGTAGTCGTAGGAACCATTGTTGTCGGCATTCCCAGTAAACAACATCAACATCTACTAACATGCTTATTGAAGGCTGGCATCGGACCTGCAATTCGGATCGATGGGGATAATCCTAAGGGGACTTTGTTCCTGTGAAGTTGACCTGGGACAGGGTAAAGAAGATGTTATCCATTTACCCGCCAAATCATTGGTCTACGGGTGATTGTGGTGACGTGGAAATTGAACGCCTCAGGCAGAATGTACTAACTAGTTAATGTCATATTCTGCCTCAGGCATGAAAAAAAACCTAGGTTTTCAGGCACCATGGCGGCGATGTCACTGATCATACCAGACATATCCGGTTAGACTCCTTTTTGTCTCATGGCGCCGCCTGGCCCGCTGATTGGATGAGTAAGCAAAAAAAAAAATTCGGTCGCCGGTCGGTCAGCAATCGACGATGGCGAAGATTGTTTTAAACTTCTTTTTAGACCACTCTCCCCTCTTTGTGTTTCTTTTTTTGTTGTGTTTCGGGTCTTCTGGGTTTTTAAGAATCGTCTTGTAATTACTCTACGATTCAACCCGATCCTATCTCTTCTGTTTGTGTGCGCGACTTGCGCTGTGGACAGTTTCTTAATCTTCCGTTGGGTCGAATTGCCCCTCTCTTACCAAGGGCTTCATTTCTCTGTCGTTTTTTCGATCTCTTTGATATCGACTCTCGATCCTCGACTCTTTGGTTCTCTAGAAAATGCCACACACTGTCTCCCCTTCTGAGACTCCCAACATGCCGACCATCGTCGCAAAGGGGCCCTCCGGCGTGCCCCCCACATCCGAGGAGATTTCCTCCCTCCTGAACACCATCTTCACATCCGACACCTCGCAGAAGTCCCTTGATGGCGCATATGCCTTGACTAACCTGCTCATGCAGGGTGCTGGCTGTGCCGGCCTACTGAACTACAATGTTCTCGCTGATGTACGCAAGGCTGCCGCCGATAAGAAGAATGGTGCCAAGCGCGAGAGTGCCATGCTCATCATTGGTGCTTTGTTCGAGCGCTTCCCCCGAGAGTTTCCTCTCAGTGAAGCCGTTTTCCTTTTGCACGACGGAGGCATCTTTGACATTGCTCTGGACGCCCTGTCCGACAAGGGTGCCGTTGTGCGTGATGCTGCCCAGTATGCCATCGATGCGCTCTTCGGATGCCTCAGTCCCGAGGCCATGGTCAACGGTCTGATCCCTGCCCTCGAGCGCTACCTGGCCAAGGGCTCTGGTAAGTGGCAAGGATTTGTCGGCGCCTATTCGCTTATCGAAAAGATGGCGGTCAAGGCACAGTTGGGCAAGGGTAACAAGGAGGAGGAACGCCAGAAGGACTTGTTGCGCGATGCTATGGGCAAGACTCTGAAGGAGCTTATCCCCATCGTTGAGTCCGGCATGCACGATTTAAAGAGCGAAGTGAGCAAGCAGTCTTGCAAGACCATGACTGCCCTCACCACCCTTCTGTCCAACGACGACGTTGCCCCCCGCATTCCCCTTCTGATCAAGACCATGGAGAACCCCTCTGCTCAGACTCTCCAGAAGGCGATCCACGCTTTGTCTCAGACCACCTTCGTTGCCATCGTCACATCCCCCGTGTTGGCCATGCTCACCCCTCTGCTCGCCCGATCCCTCAATACCCCGGCCACTCCCCAAGAAACCCTTCGTCAGACCGTGGTCGTTGTGGAGAACTTGACCAAGCTGGTCCACGATCCCGCCGAGGCTCGTACTTTCCTTCCCAAGCTCCAGCCCGGTGTGAAGTCGGTTAAGGAGACTGCCTCCCTGCCCGAGGTCCGTGAACTCGCCACTCGTGCTCTCGAT